CAGAAAAACGCAAAATATTTAATATTTATTTACAAACAAAAAAAAAATAACAAAAATATAGCAAAAAAAAAAAATAAATCTTGCAAACAGATTACCTTAGTCGAATCAAAAAGTATAATTTCACGAAACTTATCCAAAATGTATGTACATATTTTTGTTTTTTGTTAATTTTTATTCAGAAAAATTATTTCTTGTGACACCCATACGAAAATTTCTACAAGTTTGAAATCGTATTTTACAAGTAGGTAGAAGTATAAATAAAATAAAGAAATATCAAWTTTTCTACCTGTCAATAAAATTGAAAACTGTTAGATATAGGAACTGCCGTTACAATTGAGGGCTCACACTTGTAGAGATTTTCGGAGAGGTGGCCAAAAACCTAGTTTTGCCAAGCAAAAAAATTATTCGTGTTTTAACCCACCCTAATATTTATTTATTTATCAATGTATGTGCATTTTTTTTTGTTTTTATTTTAATTTCTTACTTCCTATTTTTTTATAATAATTTTAAGTGTCAGGAATATTTATAACAACGTCAAATTTATATTAAAAATACTGTCAAATTGTAAAATGCGTGCCACATTCCATATAAAATCTTATGTATAATACCAAATTACGTTCAAGTGTTATAATAAATAACCACGCCCATTTTTCTAACAAAACTTCATTCATACAAGTACAGTTACATAATTTTGGTTTGGTTACGCATTTTGTGATTTTCAGTTTTAAAAATTTCGTGCAAAATATGCTGCTTTCAAACCTGCTGAAATATTTATTGCATACTTTAGGGGTGAACGCACTAAAAGTTTACAAAAACCGTTGTCCTAAAGTGTTTCGAGTTTTGCATATATTAAAGCTAGTTGTATACAGGTTTATCTAGGTTAAAGAATTTTGTTGCATACTTTTAGGCTATGAAACGAATTTCGTTTTAAAATCAGCCATACTGTTTTTAATTTTAAAATTACTGTTGCTCTGACAATAGGTGACATTAGAACTACGCACAAGCGATATGAGTGACTAAGTTTGTAACACACTAATGTTTTTTAAAATTCAAAAAATTTTAAAGTAATACTAGCAAAAACAGTTACGAAACTAATTTTTTTATTTTAATTTTTAATTAACTTTTA